AAAAAAGTAATCGCTTTCTCCTAGACATGAATATGTAAATCTAAGAAGCAAGAGTACAAAAATCATTGAATTTGACCCCAAAAGAAAGACGTGAAAAAATAATTTTTAAATTTTTTTAAAGCCTATGCCCTCACCAACAAGCAGATCCTTGTCAACTGTGGCTGCAAGGCAACTGCCTAAACATAAAGCTGTTTTATATAAAGCCTAAAGGTGACTGCATTGCATGAACAATTTATTCTTTTACTATTTTACTTTTTACTTTTTACTATTTTACTATTACTTTCTTTATAATAAAGTGACCAATACAGTTTGAATTGGTTACCTTGTGTTCTTTTATTAGTTGGCTCCTGCTTCTTACATCTGCATGTTTACATTTGCAACTTTTAAATTTCATATATAAAAATTATATATATTTATATATAAAATTTAAAATTATATATATAAAGCTCTCTCTGGGAGGCTTACAAATTCCTTCCCCTGTAGAGGGTAAGAGGATATATATATATATCCACACTCAACATTGTGAGGTGAGAAAACAAAGCAAAGCAAAACATGCTGTTTATATACTGCCTCATAGCACATAAAGCTCTCTCTGGGAGGTTTACAAATTAATTATGCAGGTTACACACTGCTCCCCCATCCAGCAAACAGGGTACTCAATTTACGATCTCAGAAGGATGGAAGGTTGAGTCACCCTTGAACCCAGGTTGTGGACAGAGTTTTGACTATAGTACTGCCATTTAATTACTGCACCACAAGGCTCCTAAACTATCTACCTATTCCACACTTACAGTAGAAATGTCTCTACTGCTAGCTGGTACATTTTTGCAGAGTTGTAATTTGTGTGTATTTTTTTTTACCATGGCTGATACAAAGACTAAAGTTTAATGAATTTCATGGAGGATGTCTGGGAGGCTTAGACTGGGCTATCCACTTTTTAATCCAATCCTTTTATTTATTTTTTTTAATCCAGAGATGAGCCGGTTCATGTTGCATAAAGTATGCTGACATGTATTCTGGCTCAATGCTTGTGACAGCTTTATTATTTCCCTTACGCAACCTGTCCAGTTCTGTTGAAGCTGAAATGCTTTCCTTCATGTGTATTTGGGACTAGTTATTTTAAAATAATAATATTATGGATGCTTCATACTTTCCTTCCCCTGTAGAGAGTAAGAGGATATGGAGACAGAAGGTTCAACATATGGACATCACCATGCTTTGCTGAAGACCTTGCCACATATCACGCAAGCTATGAACCAACTATGTATTGCTATTTCTCCTGAAAGATTCAGAATTGAGATTTAAGCACCAATTGAGAAAGGTATGCTCTCCAGCAGTAGCTTGAGCAGCAGCCTGCTGGGAAAAATATTAGGGCAAGAAACACATTTGGAGAGGAAATGACATCAACGAAAAAAGGATACAATAATAGAGTAAGAGATTTCAAGCCTGAAGCAATGAACTCAAAAAGGTTTTCATTACAAAGTACGTCGAGTTGCCCTTTCTGTTTTCTTTACCATGTCCGCATTATGTGCCATGTTACTCACAGCACCTAAGTGAGCTTCCTCTTCTCTGTTTGTCATAAAAGTCACTTCATTGTCCTTTCTCAAGTTAGCCTTCAAAGACCACTTCTCCAGGTGGCTGAAGATGAGCTGCTTGAGCTGCTCAAGCCTCACCTTTCAAGACCTCCTTTTGCCACCTGACTATCTTCTTCCCCATCATGACTGATGTCAGATCACATGTACTGATGTCAGACTTTCTGCTTGACTTGTTGTCTAATATAGGCTGTAAATCCTGTCCGGCCAGAAATAACTGCATTACACATTGTTGACGTTATCGTGTTTCCCCGAAAATAAGATAGGGTCTTATATTAATTTTTGCTCCACACTAGGGCTTATTTTCAGGGGATGTTTTATTTTACAGTCATGTTATCTTCTGGTTGCTGCACAATGGTGGAGGGCGGGGTTTCACTTAAGGTACGGCTTATATTACGAGCATCCTGAAAAAGCATACTAGGGCTTATTTTCAGGTTAGGTCTTATTTTCGAGGAAACAGGGTAGCATCAAAGGAGCCATTCCTTGAGGGTGTGTATGTGTAATGCACTTGATTAGAGATGGGAAAAAATACTCACAACTCTTTGTTCTCATTGATTTAGGCTGTCTGAACATGAAACAATGCTAGACAAAGAATTTTTAAATCCCACAATATTTTTGCCTCCAAAGACAGTGACACAAGGGGTGTTTTTTCTAAAATCACCTCTGCAATTTAGGCAAAGAGATTTGTTACGTTAAAAGAATACGAACTGATGATAATGAGGTAATCAGCAAGCATTATTTCCATCCCTCATGCACAGTCACACACTACGCAGACAAAACAACAATCTTGTAGCAGCTTCTAGACCCTCTTCCATTAAAGCTTATGATAGAGTATCTGGGTTGGTCTCTTGCTATGCAATTCTGGTGTTGTTTTCAGAACTGTGGCAACAGTAAAACTTCCCCAAACACCTCCTCAAACAGCACCCGCATGAGAGCCAAAGCATTCAGGAGTAATTGCTATTTGTATGAGAAAAGGAATTAAAAAGCAGATAGTATAAAAGTCAGCAGCAGAGACAGAGCTGAGAAACTTGTGTATGTAAGTTGTAACCATCAATATCTTCCCACCAGAATACAAGCTAAAAGAAAGCATGTGGGAAGCACCAGTGAAGATATATCTGGTATTTTCCTGCAAATGCTGCATTCTTTCAATCCTGATTTCCATTTCTCTTTAAAATATTTTATACAAAATCTCATAGAAATAATGGCACCTCAGCTCTCAACAGCAAAATCTCTACACCCTTGACAGATGCCATGATTCGTAGAAATCCAAGGCAGGGGGCCTTAGACATGTTGAATGACCATTTCAGCATTGTCATGCATTTTAAAAAGGAAAAACCCGGACAATCACAAAATAGAGGGGTGTCATGGGAAGGGGGGATATGCGTGTCTGGAAAATCCAGGAGTCCAGTTTGGAATATCAGGGAGAGAAAGTCAATTCCACTTCATGAAATTTTTTCAAATTCAAAATGCAGTGACTAAGAACTATATCCTAAATAAGAATCATAGTTCAGTATAAAAGAAATCATGCTGATGAGATTACAATAAAAGGTATCACTCAGGAAAGGCTGAAGAAAAAGAAGTCCCTTTAATGCTACTTAGGTGAACCAAGTACAGGACTCCCCAAAGATGTGTTGGGAGAAAGCCCATGGATGAGGTTGGTGATTCCAGGGCTATGTTCCAGGATTTCCTACAAAATTCAAAGGAACTGTTCAATGTGCTGAACCTATTTTTGCAGATAGGGTTGGAGGCACAGCATCAGGAGGTAAACAGTACCCTGCCCTGAATTACAAACATTATGGTGCGATGTGAAAAAACCCTAACATACATAAACTGGACTTGCAGAGAAAGCTGGTGACTGATTTCACAGGGATGGCAAATCTGTCACAGCTGGGTTTGAATAAATCAGGATCTAACAACCTGGTGCCATCCCTGTGAAATCAGCCACCAGCTTCCCGGCAAGTCCAGTTTATATGTGTGCCCCATTGCTGGAGGTTTTCAAAAAAAAAGATGGGACAGCCATCTGTCCAGGATGGTATGAGGTCTCCTGCCTTGGGCAGGGAGTTGGACTAGAAGACTTCCAAGGTCCAATCCAACCCTACGACGATTCTATGATGTATATCAGGGTTTTCACTTTGTACCACAATATTTTTAATGAGAGGCAAGGGTACTGTTAACCTCTTGAGATTGTAAGACTACTTACAGCAGGGGATGATGGAAGATGTAGTCCACCATCATCTGGAGGAGCACACATTCCCTATCCCTGTTGTCCATTTTGTCCAAACTAGGAAACTACAATTTCTAGGTTTGGAGCACTGGTTCTTAACCTTGGGCTACTCAGGAGTTTTGGACTGCAACTCCCAGAAGCCTTCACCACCAACTGTGCTGGCTGGGGTTTCTGGGAGTTGCAGTTCAAAAACATCCGAGTAACAAAGGTTAAGAACCACTGGTTTGGAGGATCTCAATCCAACTTGATATCGCAATTGAATGTCCTGATTTTTTTTCAAACCCAGCTGTGACAGACAGTTAAATTGTCCAACCTCTTAAAGGCATCTTAAGTCGATTACATCATGACCAAGCCACAATGAATCGCAGGGAGAGGGTTATTTAAAATTAAAGGGTTGGCATTTTAGCTGTGAAATAGAGTTTCGACAGGGAAACGATTGGTGAAATTGGACTGTAGAAAGGTTTGGTCAATTATTGCTAGCCTTTGTGATCATTTCAGGTGGAGGAAAAGCTCCTCAAAGGGCTAGGATTTTGTACAAAAGTCCTAACTGAAAATCTTCCAAGAAGAACTGGCTTATCAGTGGGCAGTACATTGTTTGAAATCCTGTGTGGTGTTTATATTGATACACTGAATTGGTAAATTCTCGAATGAATTTAAGTCCTGTGCTTTTAGAGACAGCAACCACCGAGCTTCAATTCTCACTGACTGTTTAGGGAAGCAAACAAAACATCTTCAGTTCTAGCTTGTGTCTCAGTTTGAGTTTATTCCCAGGTCAAGGAAAAAGTGGTTTAAAGCAGCCTTATGAATATTAAATGTCAACAACTTTGATTTATATGTTATACTACCAATATTATAAATTACTGTTATTTACAACCAATATACAGGGAGCTTGTTAAGTATGAATCACTCCTGACGTCTTTCATATGACTAACTTCCCATCTTTAGTGAGGGACTCTCACACTGGCAACCACCACATCCTAGTTTGAGTATGATTGGAAATTACTGCATGGTTAACTGAACGCTCCCAAGTTAAGCCACAGTGTACTGAGCCCAGCGAAAGGAAGGTTCTGTACCCTCACAGGCATCGAAACTGAGGAGACATGAGAATGTTGAACAAAATTCACCTGTGTCAGGTATTATGTCATCTGGCAGTGAGTGGTCCACTCGACCACAGTGAGCCTTACCTGACATGCATTGTACAGCAGCTGATGCTCAAATTTCTTGATTCCCAAGATGTTCTGGAACATTTCGTACAGCTGTTCCTTGCTGAGAATCAGCTCTGAGGCAGCACTGGCTGTCATCCGGGCTTGAGCTTTGCGTGGGTCCTCTTCGCCCCGATAGATCGCATCAAATTTTGCCATCCAGGAACTTAGCACAGTCTCCTTGCTGAGGCCATCAATCTCAGGGAGGCTACGGACCCTTTTTTCGATATGTTTCTTGAAGACTTCCCGGGAATCATTAGCTGAGAACCCACCACTTTGTACCATTCTGGCCACCCGATCGCTCTTCAGAAACACCTGCAATGTAAAGCAGAAGCAAAATATAAACAACACCTTGATCCCTGCAGACTGTTTTGGAGTCTCCTGGTTGTGAAAAGGTTGAAAGCACATCTCGTTATGAAATATCTCACCCTTCCCAATGTGGTATTCGCCACATATGTGATATTTTCCCCACAACCTCCATGTTCTTAGTTAGAGCCTATGAAGTGAAATTCACATTGTGTGACCTGTTTTTTTTTTACTGTGGTCTTTTTTCTAATTAGGGTTTTGGTAACCTTCATGAAATGGTATGACATTTTCAGAAGAACACAGATTTTTGATAAAAGTCACTGCATAATCAGATTCAGATGGTGTAGTTCTTCTCTTTTCCTTTCAGGGACAATTCAAACACAACACTTTTCTAATAATTAAAATGTTTCCGTGCAAGGGAAGGAGTATATGCTATGTCCCTAATAGCACAAATATTTATTTTGCTGTCTGTGCTGGAAAAATGCCCAAGTACACCATTGTGCTTGTGGAGTATTATTAATTAATTTTTATCTATTTAATTTTTTTTACTGCCTTTCTCCCCTAGTGGAAGGGTTGTCATGTAGGATTATCCTACTACACAATAGGTCAGACAACTGATCCATTTAATACAATGGATCCCATTGGGTCCCCAGACATTCTTGAACTAAAACTCCCAGAAGCCTTCACCACTAACTGTGCTGGCCAGGATGTGCAGGAGGTGTAGTCCAAGAACAGCTGGGGACCCACGGCTGGGAACCATTGGTTTAGTATCTATTTAGTGACTGTATCACTGTCTGGATTCCCAGGCAGAAACCTTTTCAATTTCTTGCTCCTTAACCTTTTATCTGGACATGCTAGGAATTAATGTTTTTGCATGTAATTATGGCTTGCTTCTATTATTAAGATACAGTCCATCCTCCCACAGTGGTGCAATAGTAGACCATATGTTCTGCACAAGTGTGTTTGATTTTTGACACATGGAGATCTGCTATCCAGATGGGATCAAAGAACATGGTGTAGGAATTCTGCCTGAACCTCATGCATCTATAGTGAGAAAAACTGGGGTTTCAGAAATTTTATTCTTTTACATTTAGATGAATTCTTGCCATATTTTTTAAATACAAACACGAGTCCAAGCTGGTCAGTAGGAGTATCTCAACCCACCACTGCAGGTGAAACACTTCCCCTTCTAACTTGAAATATAGGCCATCGGTACTCAAACCATCTTACAACAGATAATGTAAATGATGCAGAAAAGGTATTTGTGACATAAACTGACTATAGTTAAATATCAATATAATTTCAAATTGAATTAATTTTTTTTTCTTAGAAAAATCAATTTAGATCATAACTGTAAGGCTCTGTGACTAAGTACAGAGAAGACTTCAAATTAATTGCATCTTTCACTATCTTATTCTTTCAATGTTTAGCAAGTTATTAAACTCAAAACCACCAAAATCTGATTATCTATTAGTTTCTGTAGGATTTCTAATGTTTCACTCAACATTATTGGTTTATGATAGAATGAAAGCATATCAACATTCTTCTGAATGTTTTTGAAAAGCATATTGCCTTAAGTGAAGTGTAAACAAACGATCTGTTCTTTTCCCTTCTCCCATTATGAGCAAAGTATTTGTACAAAATGGGGAAGAAGAACAGAAATTTATATCCTCCTGCCTCATGTAGCTTGTATCTGAAATGATATCAGCTTTAACTCCTATGATTAGGCCTACGATTTGAAACAAGAAACCACCTAATATGTTGCCTCTTTTCCATGGATGTAAAGGAGCCATGGATGTATGAGTCCCATTTTGGTTTGTGCATCTGTATTCAGTGAAGAAAGACTGTTTCAGGATAGGGAAGATTTGGCTTGCCAGATGTTTTGTCAACTCACACTGTCCTCATCTGGCATTGACAAATGGTAAGATACTGGGGGATCTATGCTTCAAAATGCTTGATAGGCCAAGGTTCCTCACCTCTGGTTTTACGTAAGTCCATTTCTCCATGAGCTGTTTATTCTTTGTCAATGTATCTCTGGTTTATGGTGACCCTAGGAATGAGCAATCTCCAAAATGTCCTGTCCTCAATTGCACTGCTTAGCTCTTGTGAACTCAAGCATGTGGCCTCCTTTAGGGAGTCAGTACATTCTGTACTGTATTTGGTTCTCCTTCTCCTTCTGCCCTCCACCTTTCCCAGCGCCATTGTCTTTTGAGAGCCTCCTGCCTTCTCATGATCTGTTTTACCCAATCAAAATTGCCCCATCAAAGCTGCTCTTTGCACTCCAAGAAGGGAAAATACAAGGTACACCCACAATTTTCATAAGAGTCATGAACATGACTGCAATATACTGTACTAATATGCCTCATTGTAATCCCCTAGTTTAATCATCCTCTTGCTTATACTGAGATCTCACTATCACCTCAGTGTGATTCCTACCCACCTACTCCATCCACAGCTCCTCTGCTTCAATTGCTATTTTTCTCTACATCAGGTAAGCCAGGCAATTTGGGTTACTAGTCTATCATTTCAATATAACTGTCCTCCCACACATTATAATGTGGCAGAAACAACGCAAAGTGTTGTAGAGAAGGATGTGTTACATGGCCAATAAGCCAACACCATGACCAGACCAGCTTGGAGTAGAGTTTGCACTCTCTGATATAAAGCATAATATACTTTCCAATAGACGGTGACCAGCAAAAATGCAACATTAATTAAAAGAAGAGGATGTCAGTGAGTGACAGGATGCTATTTCTAAACCGGCTACAGTTCAGAACCCTGTTGCTCAGTAGAGTCTAGTGTGAGAAAGGCAATCTGTGCTTCTGTGTTATTCTGAGGGTCTCCTTTTATCACTCCATGCAGGCATGTGGGGAAAAAAACCAGAGGTCATATGCTGGGGATGAAACACATTTGACACTGTGACAGCCACTCCAGGGAGGAAAAGAAAAACATGACATTTCCCCCCCCCTCCCCGGGAGCCACCTGTCAAGAGTGACCTCTTTCTAGCAAAGGTAGATAGATAATTCCAAAGAGATGAAAGAGAAATGTCCAGTCGGAAGACAGCATTAATATTCATGTGTGGAATAGAACATGACACATCTCCCTTCTCTTTGCACTGGTGGGGCTGGGGTTCAAGCGAAAAGTATCAAAAAGTCAGAAAGCTTGCAAAGAAGGAAAGAGCACCAAATCATTTTTTGCTCCAGGACCCTGCCAAAGACGGTTTGCTGCTGATGGGCTACCTGGTGTGAAGTGGCACATAAGAATATGTGATCAAACCTACTGGCATCAGTTCATTAGCAAAACATGATTCCACATTGTTTAATGTTAAATCATCTAAACGTGGGGCTGGTATCTGCTGGCTTAAACAAAGGGTTATTGCTGGTTTGGGCAACTGCTGGCTTCATCAAAGGGGATAAGATTTACACTGATGCCTTCAACGTGTAGAGACAATCAATGGCTTGGAAAGAATCTTAAAGTTCATCTAATACATGGCTCTTCTTGTTCAGAAAATCACTGCTGCAGCATACTTGGTAGGTTGTAATTCACCCCTTGCTTAAAACTCTCCAGTGAAGGAAAGCCCACCACTCTGAGCTAGCGATTCCATTATTATATTTCTCTCTTGCTTGTCTTGATGGCTTTTCCTGGTTTGTCACTAAACTTTCTGGCAGCATGATTCACCAATGAATTTCAGCAGTGGTAGTGACTCTCAAATCAGTTTAAATTGCCTAAGCCTGACCTAGAAAGCAGCTCAGTATGTCACCTAGGAATCAGAAGCACAGCACTTCATCTCTTACAGGGGTGAATCCTGGGAATTTTCTCTCAGGATCCTCTTACATAGTAGCACAGCCTGTATTTTTACAGGGGCATCTGGCTTGCAGGCCCTTTATCCTTTGTTGAAGAATCCACCAGTCTGTATTCATAACATTTGGAAACATTAATGCCCAAGATATTCAACTCATGCCTAATAACAGGAGTCAAGAGTCATGAGATCTTTAGAATGCTCAAGAATGTTAAGAGAAGAATGCTATCAGAGTTTGGAAGTTGACACTTGTTCTCTTTCTCATTCTCTCTTGGAAGCTGTAGAGTGGAAAGAAAGTTAGCTGAAAGACAAGAGAGGCTGGAAGCATCCTGGGGTACAGGGTAAAAAAAAGTATAAAACCTTGGGTGACTGGCAGGAAATTGGCAAGGTTTTTTTTTAGTGTTAACGAGTTGTCCTTTGGCAGGTCGTTGCGAAGGTCTATTTGAAATTTGTAGACTTACCATATTTGCCGGCGTACAAGATGACTTTTTTGGCCCAAAAAACATGCTTCCAAGTGGGGAGGGCACTTCATTTGGGCCAGGAAGGCGCCGCCGCCACCACCATTGAGTGATGCGGGGCCACGCTGGCCGGGGAGGAAGGCAGGCGGGCGGGCAGGCAGTCGGTCTGGATGGATGGAGGGAAGCAGAGCTGGCCATGCCTGAGCGGCCAGAGCCCGCTGCCAGGCTGCCCGCCGCCCCATGCCGCTGAGCCAGCTGCGCGCACGCTCGTCTGCCACTCACTCGCTTCCCCTCTTCCTCCTGCTGCCGCCCGCCCAGCCTCTTCCCCTCTTCCTTGCCCTCCTCCCCGCCGGCCATGAACTTCCAGGGCAGGCCCGGGCAGAGCCCCGGGCAGCCGGTGCTGGCACCACAGCAGAGCTGTCCACTCTGTATTTTGAGTGGAAATGTTGGGGGGTCGTCTTATATGGCCAGTCGCCTTGTACGCCAGCAAATACGGTATGCACTAGAACACCAAATCTGTAACAACTCAGAGGCAGATCTGTTGTGTGGGTTTTTTGCAAGCTACCAGAAGATGCCATAGAGTAGACAATTGGAATCACCTCTTGAACCTCTATTCTTTATTGGGCACCATTCCTGAGCTGCTCCTCTCTTCAATTGGTGTTGTCTCAGGGGCTGAAAACTCAGGCCCCAGAAAGTATTTCTTTCTAAATTATACCCCCCAGAATTCCCCAGCCAGCATTAGTGAACTGGTG